TTAGAAAGATAGTCTATGACTCTTCATTTCTGAGAAATGTTCTTGGTTTTTCTAATTGGTTCGCAATGATACTGAAGTACTGATTAAAAAGTACATGGGTCTAAATATCCCAGATCTACTTCCCTGGAACTTGTTTCCTCATTAATAATTATATAATTACTATACCAAAACCAGATGCTTATTCTAAAAATCCACATATTAGGAATGTAATATGAGTAGTTTATATAAAGATATTTTTATTTATATTTATATATCTAATCTTGAATATGTTTACTTGGACTTCTGCTATCTCTTACCCTTACAGAGATTTAGGATAATTTTCTTCGAAGAATTTACTCTGGAACTCATTATTTTCTGAATCAGTTCAGTGGCTCATTCAACAGAACCTTACAGCTCTTATTTAGCTCTCATTTTTAATTAAGAATTGACATGTTTTTTCAACATCATGTGTAATAGCCAAGCAGACTTTTTGATTAACAGGCTTAATTACATTATTCAGAGAATCATTATAAAGACATGTTTTAAAAGTGTCTCAAATAACACATCTCTTTTTTATTTCTTTGTTTATTTATTTCTTCTATGAGAGAAAGAAAGAGACAGAGAGACAAACACCTCCAATAAGTTTTCACCATGATCTCTCCCCAGTCTCAGCCGACCTGGAACACGGACACGCACATGCCCAGCATTTTCAGGGAGGTCTCAGGATGCAGTCCCAGAACTGTTTCCCCATGGTTCCAATTGCATTAACGTTGTGTCACTACCTGGTCCCCTTATAATGTTTTTTTTTTCTATTGAAAATATGTATAAAATATGAAACAAACAACATTTATGTGATAGTGGTTTGTTTATTGGCCCTTTAGTCTACAAAATCTACAGAGGTGTTTTACATCATGATCATTTTCACATAAAACCTCAGTGAGAATATCACAGTATCTCTCCATTTTATATATAAGCAGTGAAGAAATACAAAGGGTAAGCGACTTAAGCCAGAGTACAGATGGTAGAGAGGGGATTCAAAGCCAGGCAGCCTGGCTTTAGAAGCTCACTCGGGACCTTTATCTTGTATACCCACACTGCAGGTAAAAGAAAGTGCTTGTTTTCAAAAAGAAATTTGACCGCTGCAATCCTGATAATAATCTCTACAGTATCATTTGTCTCATGAATTACCACCTGAGGGTAGGGAGACTCAGTATTGAACAAGTTTACATGTTCTAACACTTTTCATTGAATATAAAATTACCTTTAAGCGATTAGGTTAGATAAACCCTATCAACAGGTTAAAGCTGGACTTTTCCTAAATGTCTATTGTTAAACATTTTCTATTTGAGGAAACCAAATAAAGAGGAAGGTGACATATCTGATTTAAAAGTTTTTTAAAAAGGAGTTTTATTTGTTTTCTTCTTCTTCTTTTTTTTTTTTTTAAAGGTTTTTGCCTTAGGTCGCATGGGCTCAGCAGGAGACACTGAGAGGGAAAGTGAGAAATCGCCCCTCACCCCCTTCACCCAGAGGGGTGAGGTGGTGGTCACTCAGCGATTTCTCCTCCTCCATTCTTCTCTATTCCCCTCCGTTCTCCTCCTGGGGCCTTGAGCACATGCACACACACAGGCCTGGTGTGAGTTTCAAGCCACCAGGTCCGGGACTCAAATCGTGGTGGGCCATGTGAGAGTCCAACGACATAACCACTATACCATCTGCTGGCCCCCATAAAGAACTCTTTTTGATGGGTGAGAGTAATAAGAAATTAATTATTTTATTTGCTTAAAAAAGTCTCTCAGAACTTTTAAGATCAAGGTACTTTACTAGCATTGAAACAACGTGACAAAGGTGTATAAGCAAATAAAAAAGAGCAATTTAGTATTATCAGTAAACATCAAATTGCTTGATTTATAAATTGTAGGAATACTGAATACCTCTCTAAAGACAAAATATCTAAAAATTATTGTTAGTATACAGACTTGGCTTTAAAATATGGTAAATAAGATAAATATTCTGTTGTCAAAGAGCCTATATGTTGCCTTTAAAGTTCACTTCCAAATAATTTTATTTTAAAATTAACATTACTAGTGTATTTCTGCTTTTATCAAATATAAATACAAAGCTGAAATGTCATTCTTTAAGACTGACTTAATTAGATTGCTATATGTCAAAAATGAAGAGTGATCATTTAAGTTAAGGGCATTATAGCTGAAAGAAAATAAACACAGCATCTTGAAAGGCTTAAACACACTGGGATTTCATGAAACCCAAATCCAATGATGACATCATTAGCAAATGAAGAATTCTATTATAGTTATGTCTAGTTACACTGATTACTCTCTGAGAGGACCCAGGTGCTAACGATGTGTTTATTCTGACTTTATAATTTGTTATTGATGGACTGTTCTCAGTCTTGCCACTAAATAATGCTTGAAGGTGGCCTAATCCTGAATGACCCTCAGGTAAATAAAACCAATTGCTGTGTAACTTCCTATGTCTGAGCACTCTATTTGAATACTAACAAAAAAACACACAGAGCTCTACTAATGCAAAGTTGTCCTTTCAGTAATAACAAATTGACAACAATACATGTGCACGAAGCTATTATGAATTCAGCAATACTTTTAAATAAATATGCATCTTATTCACAAAAATAAACATATTTCAAAATAGTGTACACAAGAGGACTCCAAGAAGTTCATAGTACAAATTTACTTTGATATTTAAAAAAACTTAAAATCCATACATAGTTTTTCATAATATGCATTTTCCATGAACTTTAAGACCCTCTGTATCTATACATACATGAGATGGTATTTATGGAGCTACAACCTGGGGCATAAGTTGATTCATTATTTCTTTGCTCTAGTTCTGTAAACTTCAGTGACTGAAGCAATGTGGGAACCGTAGCTGATCAGGATTAGAACAAGCTCAGCAACATGTTCCAACGTCAAATTCTACTTTGCAGACTGTCTCACCTCTTCTGTTTTCAATGTGCCTTGTTCCAAACATATCAGGGCTCTGCAGTCACTTGGGACGCAGCTGGCAAAGACGTTTATTACTCGTTTGTGTAAATAAATGTGATGTGGAGGACAGGAATGGTGCTGTGCTAACAGGTCTGGTTGTGGGGAAAATAAGGAAGTACTTTTCCTTCATAGACTTCCTTATGAAGAGTTAAAAGAAGAATAAAAAAGTGAGCAAGAAAGAGTACATTGGCAGTGTATGCTCCACCCACTATGTGGGTAAGAGCTTGATAACATTACCAGACAGTATTTATGAACTACTGCAATTAGTTCATTTAAAGATTATACTCTACAAAGAGAAAGTGAACAGAAGAGTATACATTTTTAAAGTCCCCCCAGAGTGTTAGTTTATATTTGGAATTGAGGGGAGAAACGTGTTTCTATGAATATATTACCAACTCACAAGCATTGAGCTGCATCTTTAAGACGGAGAATAAGGGACTTTGTGATCAGTTGAACGATGGTCAACAGGACCTGTTCATTGACATCGTGATCTGAACCACAAACAGGCATTCTGCTATGAAGATTTCCATATCCTTGCCATCCTCTTTGGCCTGTAACCTTTTTTCTTCTAAATTCTCTCAGCTGTGTTTGAAAGGTATTAACATTCAAATATAAAATACTTATAGAAAGTATTTCCAAACTGGTGCAGCTATAAAATATATAACATGTAATGTTTCTATAATTCTATTTACTTAGTTACCTTTAAATTTGATAAAGCAAGCTTGCTACAGAATAGTCTGTGCAAATTAGCTATCTTAAAAAAAGAACAAAGGCAATGATTCAAAGACTTGAAAAGCCAATCAATCAACCTATTACTAGGGTTTTGTTTTGTTTTCAAACTTTTACTGTTTCTTAAAACATTCAACATACATTTTAATTGAAATAAATTTAAATTCCTGTTAATCAAGAAGGTTATGCTAAGTAAGAAAACTAGAGCTACTCCGAGAGTATATAAAACCATTCAGGATATTTGTTATTTGGAAACAGTCTTTGGTTACAATGAAGTCACTGAGCTTTATATTTTCAATACAAATATAGTGTCTAGTACAAAATAAGAACTCTCAATTGAAAAATGTTAATTTCAATTGGCTTTTTAAAAATTAAATCCTTATTTTACTTTGAATTACTCAAGAAGCAGAGAGACCATCGTTTTGTCCATATGCTTATTCCGTAATAAGTCAGTCCTCCCAAAGCAAGATGTGGTGTGTTATCAAATAATCATTATTAATATCTTTGTGAACATGGTTTCTGTAAAATGGAGAGGAAGAGTTGCCAGCGTTCAGAAACCTCAAGAGCCCAAGTGTTTTTTCCAAGAGATCTTGAATCACTAGAAAGTTCTATATTCCAGATCTCTATAAACTCCCTCTTTTTAGGTTAAAAACATTTCAAGAATTCATAATCTTGTGCTTACTTCTCAAGCCAGATACACTTTAGAAAAGATTTTTATCCCCAGAGAGTCTAATTTACAAGTTAGACAGGAACTTTTTTCTTTCTCTGTAGTTTTGGAAAGCTGAACACTGATCATGAGTGTGGGAGAAACTATAAAGCTTCAGATTACTTGAAGAAACAAGAAGGAATTTCAGAGAGGAAGGTAGAGAATCAGAGAAACAAAAGAGTTCAAAAATGGGATGGAATCAACAAATCATTTTTTCAATGCTCATGCATGAAAGGAGTGGGGGTTTGGGGGGGCTGTCTGTGCTGTAATCCTTTTATCTACAATTCTCCATCCCATCCGGATCTTAGACACAAGCTGAAGCAGTCAAGATTCAAACCCTGATAGGCCATGTGGCCACCACTGTGCTATGGGGCCAGCCCCTAGAAATCAGCAAATCTTACTCCCCTTCACTAATTTCTAAAAACTGCCAAAATATGTGCAGGCAATAAATATTTTAGAACATTCCAATGTAATATCCTCTCACTTAGCAAATGGCTACACTTGCCTTTGTAGATCCAAGTGTTTGGATCCGACTTAGTTTTGAAGTCTCTACAGTAATCTTTTTAATCTATATCTGCACCTTCAGAAAATAAATTGGTGGTGGATGAATCCCTCCTTAAGACCTTGCCGCTAACAATAAGTTTTATCGCCTTCCGAAACCACGGGTAAAAGAAAGCATATATCAAGGGGTTCATAGCGGAATTATAATAAACACACCACACCAAGATCTCATAAACGTAAGGAGGAGTTATGAAATCCATGTAGGCGTCAATCACCGCATCGATAATGTAGGGTAGCCAAGAGACAAGAAAGGCCGCCACCGCGATACCCAGCGTCTTCGCCGCCTTCCTCTCTCTCTTTGCTACTCTTTCCTTGTAACTCTCTGTGGAGGACTGAGCTTGGCTGGCTGTAGTTTCTATCTTCCTGGCCTGATACTTGGCCACCAAAAATATCTTACCGTATATATACACCATGGCAACGGTGGGGATGAAGAAGAGAAGAAAACACAGCAGAACCCAGTTTTGATTCAGTGGAGCCTGACAGCCTCCCACACAGGTGAGAGCCACCACTAACTCTTCGATTCCCTCTTCATTGGCCCCAGTGTAAAAGATAGAAAAGCTGTATGTGACAGAAAAGAACCAAGAGAGGATAATGCAGACTCCAGAAACAGAGACGGTAAACTTGGTTGGATATGTCAGAGGATCTGTCACAGCAATGTATCTGTCAATAGAGATGCAGCACAAATGAAATAAAGATGCAAAACAGAAGGAAGTATCAAAACATGTATGGAATTTACAGTAACTCTCCCCAAAGTACCAGCAGCTCTCCACAGACCTCACCGTGCTGAAAGGCATCACAGTGACACCCACCAGGAAGTCCGCACAGGCCAGGGATGCGATCAGAAAGTTCGTAGGCGTGTGAAGCTGTTTAAAGTGAAGGATCGCAATAATCACCAGTAGGTTCCCAAACACCGCCAGCACTGCCCCCAAACCCAGCACAGTGTACAGGATGGCACGAGGACCCGGCGAGTAAGGGGTTTTAATGCAGGATCCATTCACATTCTCATAACAGAGTTCCACAGCATGGGTTTGGGAGAAATTGTTCACCATCGTCTTTCTGCTTGAGTTGTTTGAAAATTCTCAGATTCTTGATTTCAGTAATTGGCAAAAAAAGAGATGGCAATTTCAAAGTCTTCTGGGGAGGAAAAAGTGAACAGTTAAAATGAAAGTGACTTTTCTAATTGTTTTTTTTTTTTTTTTTTTTTGCATATTAACTGAGACCTTTGGTCTTTTCAAATGTATTCCCAAGTTTTTAACACATGTAGAATGGGAACTTGTTGCAGAAAGCCATTAAAAATTATAGTCAATTATATTACTAAGTAAATGGCAGACAACACACTTAGTCTAAATGTCTATATTAGAGGATATCATTTGCTAATGATTGGGGGAAAAAACATTTTTTTATGTTACTCTACCTTTTGAAACTCTCATCTGTAATCACCTGAGTGGAGAAATAATTAGTCTACCAAAGGCTGAGTTTTATCTGTTAAGTTATCTCCCTTGAGTGGCGCCATCAGCAGTAATGGCAAATTATACTTCATTTTTTCAAGAAGGAAGACATAAATTACATCTCCTTCAAATTATAATCTCAAAATCCCTATAGTATAAAGTGTAAAGACTGAGGAAAAGTTTACTCATAATAGCTTTAAACATACTTTGGGAATACAAGATCTATTGCTTATATTTTCAGAGTTCCTGGGTTTTTTTTTTTTTTTTTTTTGAGAGAGATTTTTGCTATAGGGTGCGTGCGCTCGCCAGACAGACAGAGAGAGACATAGAGACAGAAAGCGAGAAATCACCCCCCAGGGGGGATGGTCATGCCGCAATCCCTTCTCCATTCTCCTCTCGGGATCTTGGGCACGCACGCACACGCGCCCGGCGTGAGTTTTAAGCCACCAGGTCTGGGATGCGAACTGCGGTCGACTACGTGGGAGTCCAGCGATATAGCCATTACGCTAACTGCTGGTTCCCTTTTTTTCTTTTAGATTCACTTGTGGTTCAGACATCTTGAAATGCTTGGAAAACTTCCTATCAATTTGACAGTAACACAATCATTGTAAAAGTTAGTTTTAGACATCTAAAACCAATGGGAATTAAAATACATAGCACCTCACCTTTGACCCTTAAAAAAAGTATAGTTTTTGTTTGTTTTGCTTTGTTTTTAGGTTTTTGCCATAGGGCATGTGTATTGTCTGAGAGAGAAAAAAAGAGAGGAAGTGAGAAATCACTACTCAGGGGGGATGGCCACGCTGTAATTTCTTCTCCTCCATTCTCCTCTCAGGATTTTGGACAATCACATATATGTGCCCAGTGTGATTTTTAAGTCATCAGGTCCAGGACTCAAAGCACACTCAGCCATGTGGGAATACAACGCCTTAACTACCATGCCAACTGCTGACCCAGTATAGCTCTAGCCCTACTACAGAGAAGTAGGTGATAACTGGAATGAACTGGAGTGATGTATATATATCTAGTGCTACAGCCCTAGAAGAATGGGTTTATGGTGTTATCAAGGTTCCAACAGAGACCAACTTGATTTCTCTAGATGTTTAAGTTTGTTCTTATATTGAAGCCTATCGTTGTAAGTTTGCAGAGTTCATTTGACAACAGAGAATAACAAATTTTCACATCAGTGAAACTTTGCTTCTAAATCTTAATCTTTGAGCTAAGACTAGTCTCCTTTTTCTTTTTAAATTTTGTTATAGATATCATGTACTTGAGAGACAGAGAGAGAGAGAGAGAGAAAGTGAGAAAGCTTCCCACCCCCCAAAAGGATGACCGCACATCAATATTCTTCCCCACTCTCCTCTTAGGATTTTAGGCATGCACACTTGCACACCTGTGTGTTTTTAAAGACTCTGGGACTGCACAGTCAGTCATGTGGGATCCAGCCACCTTAACCACCATGCCACTGACGGGCCTAAGATGGATTTTTTTTTTTTTTTTGTCATAGGGTGCCTGTGCTCTCCAAGACACCGGAGAGAGACAAAGAGAGGGAAAGGAAAGTCTCATCATTCCCCTCTTGGGATTTTGGGCATGCATGCACACATGTCTGGTGTGATTTTCAAGCCATCAGGTCCAGAATACGAACCATAGTCATCCCTGTGAGAATCCAGCACCTTAGTCACTCTGCCACCTGCTGACCCCAAAACTAATCTACTTTTATTACCATTTACCCCATGCCACAGTTCTGGGCTCTATTGAAAGTACAGAACCCTGGAAAAGGTTTTCACATGTGTGTGCATCTTTGGTCTCTACAGCTACACTTTCTAGGTTTTACTAATCTATGAGTTGTAAATGATTTTTGTGTGTGTATGTGTACCCACAAACACACACCCCATGGTATTTACAGACTTGATGAGTCTTTGAACTTTATACGAATTCATTTTTACTTTTGTTTACTACAATAATTTGTACTCTCACTGGTTTGATGTCACAAACTTAAGTCTCCTCCTGGCAGTGTCGCTCAATAGGATTCCCTGAATGGATTCATCTATGTGCTCACAAATCAGCCTAGTAAATAAGACCACATTTGGCAACCCATATGGCCCTCTTCTGCCCTGCTCTCTTGACAAGACCCACCACATCTCTTGTATCCCTCTCAAGATGGCAAAAGGAATTTCCCCATGTCACCATAGATGGTGCGTGCCTGAGTATCTAAGTTCTAAGTAAAAAGAAAAAACATTATTAAGCTTTAAAATTCCTACTTCACTATTGCCCATGTAATGATGCTGCTTTGGAAAAGGAGAGTGATCTCCTTTCTCAGTTCTTTATATTTGAGCCCTAAAATAGCAGCCTTCAATCTCAGAGTGTCTTAAAACTTGCCCTTTCTTACTTAAGCAAAGACGTTTAAGTAGCAATAAGCACTCTTCAGATGCACATCTTGGTGTTTAATACTTTTCCCTAGTGAGAGTAACTAAGGCTTCTCAATGAAGTGGTTCATTCCAGCAGTGGGACAGGAAAGAATCTAGAAGATATTTTTATGCCAGAAACCAAGATAGACAATTAAAAATATATACTGTGACATACCATAAGGATAATGTTACCAGCACAAATGGGCTCTTACTGACCAAATCAGGAACAATTTGAGTGCCAAAATAATTAGGAGAATAAGAAAATGATAAGTCATTGAAAAAAATAGAAATTAATGATGTCAGACTAATTATATATACATAGATCAGTAGATTGACAAAGTGATTGATAGATTGATAGAAATAAAAGAGAAGTCTTTCTTACAAAAGAATGTGAAGTATCAGTTGATACATACAGAGAGGTTTCTAAAATTAGAACATAATTTTGGATCCAATAATATTAGTTAATATTAATGTTGGTTCAGGCAAGAATAATCAATGAAAGCTAAATCAATGTGTGATTTTGATGAGACCTGGATATTTGTGTGGTTCAAGGAGTTCCCAAGGGTTTGCCTATTTATTGTAAAAGAAAAATAATAGTAGCTACACAGTAGAGAAATCAAACAAAACTTTGAACAGATTATCAAAATTAATATTACCAGGCTGACTCCATGGTTAAGTGGTTAAGAACTGTACAAAAGAAGCTGGATCTCACATGGCTGACCAGGGTTTGAGCCCTGTTCCCTGTAGCTTGGAAAACATGCTGGGTTCAGGCACCAGCTTAGGATTTTGAGAGGATGGAAAGTTGGAGGAAAAATGATAGGCGGCTTAGCCAGGCCCTATTGGGAGGGTCTCTCTCTCTCTCTTTCTCTCTCTCATATACACATGTACCCACTGGCATAAAACCATATCATCAGTGATAAAGGGAAAACGGCCAAGTATGCCTCCAGCCAGGATACCCTGAGAAGCACACAATATAATGCACATGGCAATCCAGTCAGGAATGCATAACCTAAATCTAATCACAGAAGTTCACACAAAAGAAGTTGAGAAACATTCTGTTTTCAAAAGAGGGTGAGTTGGAGGGGTAAGAGTATAGTTTTCAAAATTGTCAGGGTCATAAGAAACTAAAAAACTTTTCTAGAATAGAGGAGGTTTTTATATTTCACTCTGAGATATTGCTAATAAAAATGTTATTTGTTAACATCTCAGTAGATTTGTACCATAGATACATGATCATCTAGACCTGGGATAACAAATGGCTATATTTGCATCCCAGCTCCAGTCTACTGGAATGAAGGCCTAGAGCACTGGGTTGAGAAAGACTGGATGCCACATTAGCCCAGCAACAGAGAATACTGTCTATGCCATGGGCAAGGGACAGAGCACTGGTGGCACAAATTCCTCACCCTCTGCTAGAGTCAGCAGAACACTTTCTTCTATTAAATAAAAATATTTTCCTTATCATTTTAAATGTGCCACAGACATATCTGTACTAAAACTCTAGTTTGTTGTATTTATTCTTTAAAAGTTGTATTGTGTTAGCATAAGTAAATAAATTTAATTATTAAAATAAAGTTTTATTATTTTAATACAATTATGTTTTCTATATTTTATGTTCCATATGAATTATGCCAATGTAGATGAATCTAGAAGATATAACGCTAAGTAAATAAGGCATATTATGAGAGCTAAATACTATAATGTCCCTACTTAACACTTGCTGATTGTCCACACCATGTAGTACTTGATGGTATAGAAATAGAGAGTAAAGTAGATGCCAGATGCTGCTTGGAGGTGAGGGGTTGATGAAACATCTATGATCTATCCTAAAAGAATATCATCAGGAAGCAAGAGACACCCCGTTGCTTGGGAAATATATATATAGGAGAGATCTTCAAAAAGTGCATGGAAAGTGTGTGTTATGAAAATGCTATGCATGGACTTTAAGCATTTTTGTATCAAAATAAGCTCATATTTTGATTCCATTTTGCCATGAACTTATTGCTGTCCCCTCATGTTATAGAGGTTAAATGATAAACTTGAAATTGTAGAAATCTGCCACTTAAGTAAATTCCCAGGAGACCTACAAGTCTGGGATAGCTGAAACATACTTCCTACTCGAAGGACAGTCATTTCAACTTGTCTGCCCCAACAAAAGGCTCAATGTCATTCCTGTTCCACCTTTTCTCTATCACA